TATGTGTGTGTGTGTGTGTGTGTGTGTGTGTGTGTAAAACCATAAGAATTGCGTGGAACATATGTAAATTTCCCATTGAAGTACGTAAAGCAGTGTTGTTTCGTTTCGTTGAAGTACAATAAGGATAAAAAAACAATTTTATTAAAAAATCTTTTGAGAGTAACTCTCCACAGGGATGTACAGTCTTCTTTTTGAACTATGGACTCAATGTTACAGATTCAAATTCTTAAAAATGCATTATGTTGTATTTATAAAATTAATATCCATGTAATGTTAATTTATTTTCACAACATTTATGTTGCGCAAGCTGTATCTTCCATGAAGTTCTACTAGCTCTGATTTCCGGAACGAAAATGCTCCTTGCTATAGTAATGTGAATTTCCCTTTGTAATAATATTCTTTGTTTTATTTAATATTACATTTTTGAGCATTTCATAATTACGAATATTTAAGTCCTAGATATATAATAAATAGAAGAGAATTTTTTGGTAAATATGTCAAAGTTTGACGAACTATAAGTGAACCTTTACGAATCAATGTACTCAAGAAGTGTAGTTATGATAGTGACTATAGATTACAAACCTGAAATCCTGGCGAACTATGGCGGTTTTAGCTAAATCTCAAATGTCATAACTGAAAGGCAACACTTAATTGAAGATCCTAATTGCTAAATCAGCTCAGGTATTAAAAAAAAATTCAGCTCAGGAAAGCATGAATATTAAATCATTTATCAATATAACATGATTACACGGATCAAATAAAGTTCTTTAACCATGATTAACAATTGCCCTGACTTGCCTAAATGCCAAGTAAAATTGACTTTGTATAAGATGTGATGAAAGTTAGAATTTCTTTTATTAGACCACTTTTATCTTAGAAAAGTTTAATCAAAAAGCACAAGATACAAAAAATTATTAAACATATAAATTATTATCTGAAATCAACAGTCCAAATTAACCATGCAGGCGTCCTCTTTTTACCAGAGTTTGGAATACAAAATCTGAAAACATGAGAGATGAGCATACTCTAACACCATCAATTTGTCACAAATATTTATTCAAAAAACTTGCATTTTTCAAGCTCAAGTAGCCAGCCTCCCATGGTGTCACTTGGGCATGAAAGACATGCAAAACATGGGATTCAGCTCTTTATTTCTATCAACCAAAAGAAACAAAATTCTGCTCCAGAACACAAAATCCATGTCAACGATTAATAAACAACCAGGAATTTGATAAAATAATAATAATAATAATAATAAATTGCAAGTAGACCGCTTTTGCTTGATGAGATATTTACACAGGAATAAGTTGCACCAATTGTAAAAAAAACTGATGTAATGGAATGGCTTTCTAGGGAGAAAGCAACACCTTTTGAAAGAAAATGAAAAACCGCACCTTTCCTAATATTTTTTAACAGATTTGGAGCTTGAATACAGGATTATGAGGATCAAACAGCTGAGATGCTATGTGACGTCGCAAGCTGAAAGAGGATGACTTAATGTTGGTGGCTATGGAGATTGATTCCTGCAAGACACAATAAAACCGCACAAAACAATTTCAGTTGGTTGGCAGCAAAATAGACAACTTTGCACAAAATTAATTGTTTTATCGAAGACCAGTGGTTGCGTGAGATGGTGAAGCAAACTAGTAATGTAAGTATTATTGAAATCTTATGTAAGTGGTGATCGCCAAAAAAAAATATTGAAGCAAACAAATGATTACATATATAGCAGATCAGACAAGTCTACTTGCACTCCATTAAAAAAAATATCTAGGGAGGAAATAGAAAAAGTTGGCTATGTTTCATTAAAAAATAGGATAAATCCACAATTATGAGGATAAAATCATACATAAGTATATATCTATGGTCAATTGACTAATTAAAGCTTTCCTATGATACTACTTTCAATCTTGTTCTTTCCAATGCTCACCCTCAAAGTAGAGCATATATATCAATTAGCTCTTAATTTATTACATAGCTTGAAAAATTTGAAGTTAACGCATAGCCTTGGTAAAAGCATTTAGTAGTGTTGAACTAGGATCACAATGTATATCTATCTTCTTTTTGAACAAAATAGCAACAAACCCAATATATATTTTTTCATGAAATATATGATAACTAGCAATATAGATGACAACATAATTGTGACAATGTAAATTGACAAGTTGAGAAATAGAATGTTTAATTTTTCAAGGAGCGTCTTTCACATATAAATTGAGATAGAGTTTGTACTATGCCTCAACTTTAGATCTTGCCTCCACAGTTTATTTATTGTTTTTTCATGTAACCAAATTACCTTCATAAAGATACAAAATCCAAATATAAAACGCCTACATTAATAGTCCACACATAGTCACCATCAGAAAAAGCTTTCGCATTAAGATGACAATTCTTCATATATATTAGTCATTTTCCAAATAAGTTAATTTCAGGATGCCAAGAACAACTTCACAATGTTTCTACAACCCAACAACAAATGATATATCTAAAATAATAATAGTATGACTAGATGAGAATAACACGAGAAAACTTCAAGGAACTCCTAAGGGCCATAATCGAATCGAGTTGAGCCAAATATCTCATGGTTGGGACTTGACTAGATCATATTTTAATTTCATATTTGACTCGAGCTTGAAGTGAGCTTTTACAAGTAGGTCCATACTTGATAATAGTCTAATTTCATATTTGGCTTTTTCATAGTAATTGAGCAGGTGCGTCAATTAATTAATACATAAACTAATGATTTGAACGAATACTTGAATTTTTATATAAATATTTTAATAAATAATTTTATAAATTTAAACAAATAGATAATTGAATATATTATGAATCAATGTCTAAATGTTTTATACCAATCAAATAAAAACAATATATAAGTTACAACAAATTTTATTGATGATCAAATAGCATAAACAAGTACCAAAAAGTTAAGTTCACTAAAATAAATGAGGAATTACATTAAATTAATATGCATATTTACTAATAGCAAAATGAATTAATTTAAAAATTTTAAAAAGCTAAAACAACAAGATTTTATTTGAATAAAAAACATTTTATGTAAGCGAACCAAGGTTTGTGGAAAGGAGAAAACAAAGGGTGAAGGAGGCGAAACTCTAGAAGGGAAAAATATGGGTTAAGGTCTTCGAGTGCTAAGCAAATCAGGACTAGTAGAAAAGCAAAGAGATTAAAAACATATGCTATCATATTTATAATGTCGATTTTTTAATTAATAAATAGAAATTATATATTTGTATAATGATAGTTAATTAATATTAAAAAGTATGATAAATTGAATATAATGGATTATGGTTATAATAAATTAGGTTAATTAATAAATAAATATCAATAAAAAATACATTATTAATAATAATTCTTAAAATATTATTTATATTAAATTATAATATATTACTATTAACTAGATAGTTAAAAAAATAGTTAACTACATTTTATTTAAATAATATATCATATATGAGATGAGTTATTATCGAGCTTAATATTAAATATTTAATAAATTATTTGCTAAACAACAAATGAATTTGTTCATGAACATAAATAAATAAGTTAAATCACATTTAAGATTGGTCCATTTAACCATTGAATTCTTAAAAAACTTCCAATTTATTTATTTACTAATTTGAACAAATTTGATCTGAGTATTAATCAAGCAAAACTTAAATTGTTCATCAGGTGCATCAGTTCATTTACAACCCAAAATCTCACTTTTATCTATATAACTTTGTTTCAATCAGTGTTTCACCTTATTATTTATTTAGGAGTTTGCATGCAATGGCTCATAATTCCAAAAACAAAGAAATATCTTAATGAAAATAAGGTAATATTTTCTAACCAATTGTTGATAACAAGACAGATCTTGAAACATCCCATCTTTATCTATTTCATGTGTCAACAGTTTGCATCCTAATAGGAGAAATTCTTAAGAAAAAATCAATTCCATACTTTCTATCAGACAAATGACATCTTTCTTACAAGCAAACTTGAGAATCGAAAAATATTTGGGTTTTAACCTAATTTTTAAGCGAAAAACCTAAAACATCTACTCTACTAACTGGGTCATCAGGTGGACAACATTTAATGTAACCAAAACATCTTAAGATTACTCTCTCTAACCTTATTTGTCACTGGAACTATAGCAGCCCTATTACAGATATATTTATTTCACATTTTTCCTCCAAGTGCAAAGCTACTCATCCACCCATGCATTCCCATCTCCGCAACGCTTAACTTTATATTATGCTTCTCTTTTATAGGCCAACATTTCGCGTCATAAAACATTACAAGTCTCACCACCATCTTATAAAATTTTCCTTCAAGTCTAAGCGATAATTTTATCACATAATAGGCTCAATGCATTCCTCTACTTCAGTCATCCACCTTGAATTCTAATCCCATCTATATAAGCATCACTTTGAATAATAGACCGAGACATCTAAAGCTTTTACTCCTTTTAATGACTTGATCACCCATAGTTACATCCCCGCCACTAGATCTACCACTACTAAAATTACATTCCATGTATTCAGTATTAGATCTACTCAAACAAAGCCTTCAGACTCTAAAGTTAACCTCCATAATTCATTTTTTCCTAAACTTTCTCTATTCTTACCCACAAAAAGGATATCATCAGCGGCAAGCATAAACCAAGGTTCATCTTCTTGTAAATGTCCAGTAAAAACATCCATAAATAAAACAAAATTTTATGAGCTTAAAGTTGAACCTTGATGCCAACTTAAATTGGAAAACACTAGGTTAATCCTCCTATTCGAACACAAGTAACAACTCCAGCATACAATTCTTTAATGACTTTAATATAAGTCATATTAACACCTTTCTTTTCTAGAATTCTCCAAAATATTTTTCTTGATACTTTATCATAAGATTTTTTTTAAATTAACAAAAATCAGCTTTCATAGTAAACTTATTGGGCATAAATCCATAGTGCTTTTAAGAAATGTCTTAACCTATTACTCCCTCATAATTTTAATGTATGACACATTAACTTTTACTTAATAATTTACACACTCTTGTGCATCCCCTTTATTATTAAAAATTAGAACCAAAATACTCTTACACCACTCCTCAGACATCGTTTTAGTTTTTAAAATAATATTAAGCCATGAAATTCTCAAATGTCCTAAATATGTCCACATTTCTTTTGAAATACTATCAGGTTTTATTGATTTTCCATCTTCATTTTCTTTAAAGCCTCCTCAATTTTTAGTTTACTAATGTGATGATAAAAATAAAAAGATTTATTATTATTAGCCATATTAAGTCACTACGTAATTTTAGAATCTTCATTAAAAGTTTATCAAAATATTTCATCTATCTATGTTGAATATTCTTATCTAAGAAAATACATTTTGATTATAATTCTTAATACACTTTAATTGAACTAAATATTTATTTTTCATCTCTCTTTGTTTCACTAAGTTATACATTTATTTTTAACCCTTTTTAGTATCTAATTCAATATAAAGATCATTGAAAGCACAATTTTTAGCATCATAATATATTTTTTTAAACTCCCTACGGGTTACTTTATATTTTTCCAATTCTTTAAACGTTTACATTAAAGACAGATTTTATAACAAATCTTTTTATATTTTATTTTTCCTTACACACTATTATTCAACCACCAACTATTTTCATTCATACAATTTTTTTTTCTTTTGATTCTCTGAAAAAATCTTTTGCAACTTAATAGTGTTTTTTACTTTATCTTACAAAACATTAGTTTCTACATGAGCATCCCAAATCTTAAGATATTGAAATTTACTGATAAAAATAATTTTATTTGTCTCTAAGTGCCCCCATTTAATTCTACAAAAAAAAATATTTATTGTATTTTTCATCTTACAATCCTTCATCTTAAAATTCAAAATCAATACTCTATGTTGAGTACTTAAATTTTTATATGGAATGAGCTCACAAACTTTACAATCTCGTATATCTATTTTTCTCATACAAAAATAATTAATGTGTTTTATTAAATCTATTCTTACAAATGATAATATGTTCACCTCTTTTCTTAAATAAATTATTAGCAATAACAAAATCTTAAGCTGAAGCAAAATCTAATATAGTTATACCTTCTCCATTAGTCATTCCAAAACCATAACCACTATTTATATTTCTAAAAGCTTCAATCACTCCACCAACATGTCGATTTAACTCTCCTCTAAGGTCATTCCAAAATTTTGTTTTAGAACATATACATAAACCAACTTGAAGGGCATATGCACTTAGAACATTAAAAATATTAGTATCAATAGTAATATTTAAGGTTATAATTGTATCTCAAATTCTATTAATTTTTATAACATTATCTTTTAAATTCTCATTTATAATAGCGCCTACACTATTTCTGGTACAGCTACTACCAGAATAGCAAAGTTTAAACTCTAAGCTATCAACCTTCTTGGTTTTTTTTCAATCTATTTAGTTTCTTGAATGCATAATATATTTATGCTCCTACAAAACATAATATCAACTAATTATATTAATTTATCAGTGAGCAAATCTATATTCCAAGTTTTTATTCTAATAATATTATTTTCATGGATTAACTTAATTGTCTGCATCCGCCCAAAATATGGGAACCATTACTTACTAATATTATACCCTAACATCCGTGTACCGGCACTTGTGCACTTTTCATTGTACTCGGATCAAACAAAATGTCACTTTTAGAGGACGCCCTAGTATTTACACAATAATTTAAAAGATACATGTTATGAATTTTTGATAAAATCCTATGTTGGTTATTGATTACCTAAAGCAACACTTCACTTTCGCATTCGGAGCCTGGGACCTGACAGAATGAACATATAGAGACATTAAAAAAATTTAAGAGTAAGATGAAATAAGAACAACGCAAGATACAATACATGGAGGGGAAGATATTATCAAGAGCAATTGAAGGAAGAAGATTAATGCAATGCCAATAATCAACTAAACATTATCCCATAATTACCGTAGAATATTCAAATGAAAATTCAAATTTTAAGCTACATTGAATAAATGATGATAAAGTTCAACAACTGCTTTCCATTAAGTGTATAAGATGAGGTCCAGTGAATGATTCTATTATAAATGCAAAAATAAAATTAATAACAAAGAATTAAACTGCATAAATTTTAAGGTATGCGAAGTATGAAAAGTCTTGATCGTAATATCAAATTGAACTTTAAATTCATAATACAAATGTGAAACATAGATAAAACCTTAAAGTAACACTTTTAATAAATAAACCCAAGTAATGCTACAATGATCATTAAAAAAAAGAAACTATTTAAAACTCATATGGATAAAGAAAGACCCAAAAACATCAAACTAACTCTAAAAGGATACTTTTAGGACTTCATATAGAGAAAGGAAAAGACATCCAATGATGCCTACAAAGTTCACAAGTATTACATCAAAACTTAGAGAAGAGGTATGATGTACTCCCAAAATTTTTAAGGCGAAGAAAGACCCAAATGACAATACCATTAATAATAAGTGATGTCATAAAGAAGGATAATAATATTTGGAAAGATGTATAACCGAATTCAAGTAAAGAGAGCAAAAGAAAAACACATTATTAATTTCATAATTTATCCAATTGATGGATATGACATGTCATTAGTTGGTGTGTAAAAATTGGAACGCATAAGAGTAAGTAATCGTAGAAAGGATAAAATCATGAAAAGTTGTTTTCTCAAAAGAAAATAGTGTATACTAAGCAATGAAAATAAATGAAATAAAAATTATATATGAATTTTTAAAAAATTTTAATTAGGAAATACTACTAGATAAAAAAATTCCTAAGGGTTGTTATTAACTAAGAGAAGTTTATCAACAGAGGGAGATTTAGGTTTTAACTTTCACCAAGATAACTATAATTGGTTGACCATGTTAATTTGATAGATAGATTTAGATTTTAACTTTCACCAAGATAACTATAATTGATTGACATGTTAATTTGATCAAGCAGAACAAATAAAATAGCTATAAACAGACCAAAAAATGTCCTCTACTATTCGCCCAAAAAGCTAGAAAAACTAACTTATCAAACACAACATAAAAGACATACATACATTAAATGGATTAAACAACTAAAAGACATACATACATAAAAGATTTAGATTTTTCCATCTCCAAGTTAAATTCAATGCTTGTATATTGCACTAAATGGATTAAACAACTAAAAGACATACATACATATATATATATATATATATGTTACAATCAATTGTGACATCTCAATCACAACTAACTTATTTGTCACTGTCAGATTTCAAACAAAATTTTAGATCAAGCAATTGACCCAAACAAATACAAAATAATAAGCTCAAGTTGAGATTATACTCTGCTTAAAATTTAAGGAAAGAGATTCAAGAACCAATTTTCATGAAATATGGCAATCGGCGCAAGAAGAGGTTAAAAACTATCAAATAACCATGTAAGGATAAAATAATCAAATACTTGTCATTTAAAATATTTGGAGTCGTCGCGACTCAAAGGAGACACATCAAGATACTGAGGTTTGCAATGACACCCACTAAAGGACCATAAATCCCTCAACCACAAAAGATAGTTGGTAAATTTAAATTTCATAGTAGTATCGATAGTGAAGGAGAGTTTTGTCTTAAGAATAGATGGAAATATCATGACATCGTGATATGAGATGAACAAAGAATTTAAGTGAAAATTAGAACATAAAAATAATAAAGACAATGAAAGGATAAATCAAATTAGAGAAATGCATATAGAAAATACGTGTTGTGAAGACATTTGCTTGCATCAACTAGGGCAGTAATAAGTTTTGTGGCAATGATAGAAGGTGAAAAGGCTTCAGCGCAAACGAGCAAAAAGGCATGAAAGAGCGAATAAATAAGTGAGAGGGAGCAAAGCAGACATAGCACACTCATGCACAAGCAAGGCAACAATGCACGAGCTCAGGTGGAAGCAAGCAAGTCACTAATCAATGAGAACATGATAATGAACCTTAATAGAGTCGATCAAGAAAGCAAACAAGGGAGTGAAAGCGTGTATGAGAAAATATGAAGAAAGCACAAGATTCATGATGAGAAAGAGTTGAGGGCTTGGGGATGACACAGGAGCCATGGCCGTATTAACCACTTTTTGATACCATGTTGAAGAGGGAAAATAGTCTCCGTTATGTTGAAGAGGGAAAAATTGGAAGAAAATAGTCTCAGTAATGAGAATAAAATCATACAAAGAAATATATCTAAAATTAATTTGACTAACTAAAGTTTTATCACACAATTTTCAATCAAGTACTTCCAACTAAGCCGGGATAAACTATCATAAGCATCCCATTTGGAAGGTAGGATATTTCCACCTGTGTTGTCTGATAAAGAAAACACAGCAAAATGTGTGACCTAATTGTTTCAATTTTGATATGAACCTTTATTTGTCGAATAATCATGTTTCAAGAATTTGATTAAGTTTTCCATTCCAATAAAATTGTTGTAGCACAATTTATACGCTAATGTTGCATATAGATATCAAGAAGAAAGATCAAAAAGAAAAAGGGTAGAATGACAGACGATTGTTCGACGTCTAAATGAACATCCATAATAACCAAAGGTTATATAGGTTTCAAGATGATCATTCCGCGATACTACCATGCCTAATGAAATATAAGTAAAAGCAGCTGAGCCTTGAGATAAATAAAAATCAAAATGGCTTTTCTTTGTTTGACAATACTTAACTCTATATCTTGCTGAGCTGCAGTCCATCCAGGCTCATAAGCTTCAAGAAAACCAATCTTTGACTTGTTGGGAAGGTCATGGGGATGAACAAATGGTACCCCTGGTGGCCACCCAATCTCCATTCTTATACTTCCACATGGACTGTCCCGTGATTGTATGTGACCTTCACACTCTTTGAGATTACAAAATCTAAGTTTGATGCCTTTCTTGTCAGCAATATCCTGGACACGCTCTTTAAGGACCCTCTGAGCTTCAAGCCGTAGTCTCTTAGAAGGTGGCAATGGCTTGCATCTTGTGCTATTCTTCTTCCTCTTCATTGGTTTCATTGCTGCAGGAACACCGGTTCCAAAGATTAACCAAAAAGGGAAGGTCAAGACTTCCAGTAAGGATAGCACAAGAAAGAAAAAGGAAAGAAAACTCTAATGGATTTTGAAGCAGAAAATAGATCACGCAATTGGTTTAATGACATGAACTGCAAAGAAAATCCAACAGCATATCACGATATAGAATCAAAATGACAACAGAATATAGAAGTAATTGGAGGACATCAAGAATTTCAATTCAATAAGACAAGCGCTCCATAGACAGAAATCTGAAAGCATTTAGATTGTGGCAGGGAATGATGGATTTTGATCTACAAGTTGAACACAACACGAAGTTTCTAATTTTTTCAGCTATGGGAAATGTTTCAGAAACTGGAAACAAGGATCAGGCATTGTAATCATCACAGAGGAAGGTGTAAGACTTCAGACACCGGAAGCCCCACAAATATGAGTTAGTTTTTGACCACAAGTTTATCCTTCAAACCATAAAGACAGCCAAATATTGTTAGAATCAACAAGCCTCCTTGGACGACAGACAAAACCCAGATTTGTGGGCGCTCTCCCAAAAATTCCCAAAATGTTCTTGAGCATTCTCGCCTCGCTCTGTCCCAATTGTGTCCTCAGAAGATTCCCTAAAATGCCCTTAAACACACTTCTTGATAAACAAAAAGAACTCTGACTTCCCCATTTATCCTCCCTCCAAAAAAAAGAAAAAGTAGTCAGGAGTCAAAGTTACTCGATTTAATTCACCAAGTAGATTAGTAGAGCAACTAAAATTGGTAAGCGAATAAATTTATCAAAATAATCATTCAATCAAGAGAACCTGAAAAAGCACATTATACTTGCACATGTATATGTAGGCATACACGGAAAGACTTCCATTATAAGGGCTTGTGCGTAGCATCCCAGAATTTAGATACAAAACTTCTCATGCAGTTCAAATGCAGACTAATATTACTGATTGAGATTCAAATGCCAGTTTGCCTACATGCTGGTAAATGTCAACATTTACATAAGAATTGAGCTAGGCTTGAAGGGGCCAAAACTCATCCAACACTTGCTTCCTAAGTCGTCAAATGTCACCATCATCACATGCATTTTTTAAAACAAAAAGTTCCAACAAGTAACGAGTTCATGGTCTAATGGCAGGCTAGATGGCAACAACTAAACGTTCACGGTAAAACCTAATACACTTTGAATGATAAGTATATTAATTGTAACAGCAATAAGAATATGAGGGGTCTAAGTAATTTGCTATTTTAGAGGAACCTATGATTAATGGATTTCTCGAAAAAGCATAAAGATTGCAAGACTTCTCTCTTACTTGGGTTTTACTCACCCAGGCTTCCAACAGATTTGCAAGGTTTGGAGAACTTGGAAGTTGCACAAATCGCAAAGATTGAACAAGTTATCTGTATTATGACAATCTATTGATATTTGAAAATTCCCAATATAAATTTTGAATTGAAAGCTAGTTGACTTGATCGGAGTTTGCATTTACATGTTTAGGAGATAACTTTAAATTTGAAGTGAGAATGATATTTAATGTCATTTCTCTTTTAAAAATGAGTCTACATCCGTTTCAGGACTATGAATATTCGCTTCCGGAATTGGTTTATATTGTGAAACTTCAAATATCGAAATTGTGGCATTGCACGAGTTCCATAGTAGATTTTGTGTTGATCCAAGTAAAACTGTCAATGTAATCAACCTGTGGTTTCTTCAATTGGTGATTTTCCAGATAAATTTATAGCTTTTTAGCATTGTTTTGTAGTGGCTCCTCGTGTAAAATCAGGGTCATATTTAGTGGTTGCTTCCCGAGTTATTTTGTGATTAAAGAAAAGAAGCTGCAGCATGTAAAGAAATAATCCGATGTTAAATAAAATTTTATTTTAAATGTACAAATCCTTTCCTTGATAATATGTGAATCACTCTCTTCGTACAAGCATAAAACTTGATTTATGATGACATCTTTTCCTCTCCACTGTTCTTCTATGCCTTTCAATTGTCAGACTCTATACATGCTCCACATTCCGATGTGATGGAATATTTTGATAATGACACAAAGGCATCGTACACAAAGAAACCAATTAAGCTTATAGATTAAGTTGCAAAACAGACTTTTTTTGAACTTTAACACACTGGGAGAATCAAAATTTTAAACAACTCGATGGATCACGAATAAAATAGCAAATAACATCAAATACATCAAAGTTAAGATGCTCCATGTGCTGGCAAACCTGCCCAAATGTTGTCCTATCAAAAAATTGACTCCACAGAGATGTACAAGGCATCGAATTTACTCAAAAAAGGACCTTGCAAGATCAACTCGATAAAATATGATGAAGATGATGATCCACATATGCAAAGTCACACAAATCTGAGTCAAAACTGTCTTAATTGATGTCTAAATTGCATAAAGAATGCTCGTTCGAAAAAAAAAAAAGGATTACATCAACGCATTTGGAGCATCAAAATTATTAGAGGAAGTCTTGCAAAGGATTTGATCGAATACAACAACGACAACAAAGATCAAATGTGACATTGTGACAATCAGGTCGAATTGTCTCGACAACCGTCAAAATTGCACGAATTATATCCGTTTGCAAAACAGACTAGTTGAAACTTTGAAAATACAAATATTGTCTAAAATGGGCACGCATATTATCTAGGTTCCATGCCCGAATGCAAAATACAATATTATTCGCACATTAATTGATGACAAACAAATTGACGCTTGATGACAATGAAATTTTTTAGATTTAATTAAGAAAATAGAGGTGAGAACATTTTTTAAGTAATATATATATATATATATACATATATATATATACATAGTGAAGCTGGCGGCTGGGGAGGGGGGTGCATATATATACATATGATTTTATTATAAATTTAAAATTTGTGCCAAATACAAAAAATCCCTTGAATTCCTTATGTACCCACTATCCATGTTCATACAACCTCTTCTCCTCACCCTTTTGTACTACCTGAAATAAAAAAAAAAGAAAAGAAAAGAAAAATCAAAATGGGATATTGCCCTTGTCCTCGCTCTTCTCTCTCACGCCCACACTACAACAAAACCACACCTCTCATCTTCTCCCAAAACGAAGTACTTATGTTCCTCTCCCCAGCCGGCTTCTCTCGCTAGGTGTTGCAACCCTTGCTCCTCCAATTTTGCACAATAAAATCCTCTCCTCCAGCGCAAACTTCCCCTCATCCTCGTTTCCCTCCCTCTCCACCACTCAAACTCTCTCTGGTTTGCCCCTTAACCATCACAGCAACTACATCCACAATAACTAAAACCTAGTTCACGCATCTCCGTTCTCCCTCGCCACTAAAAGTCATTGAAGATCTCCCCTCTCCCTCACCTTCTTTGTCGCTACTCCCTATTCTCACGCTTTTTCCCACAAGCCCCTCTCATCATCCCAATTCACACCTCAGCCCATTCCCCCACACAATCTCCTTGCCACTCTGCTATATCACACACAGCAAGCCAAAACACATCAGCCTGCTTCTTGTCTCTCTTGTCCTGCTAAAGCTTTTGTTATTTCGTCATTTGTTTTTATTCATAGCTTCATCAACATAATTGGATCCTTCTCACCATCAACAAATTCTGAATATCTTCACTGAAGTCTCCGTAATTGACAGAGTATAATTAACACAGCTAAAAAGAATCATTTTCATAATATTTTTCTCATTAACTTCTCTTCTGATTTTTTGCCTGAGAAATTCTATCTCATACTTAAGAAAACAGCCTCGCAAGATTGTCGTAACTCTTTAGATCTTTATCGGTCGGATAATAAATAGAAAATCTTATAACTATCAATCAGATAAATTATTTATGTGTGAATTCTCAAGATTATATAAGCAGAATTATGTTGAAGCAAGTGTCCCATCTTCTAAAGCATTACTTTAAAATAATGAAAAACTTATAGAGACCAGTAAAGACATCTCCTTTTCTTCATTAACATCCTCCCTGCAACTTTATAGGAACTTACAGTATATGCAATAACTTGAACAAAGCTCTCTCTAACTTCCTCAACAAACTCAATAAACATTTTAAATAGTATTTGTGTATATTTTACAAAGACTGATACATCAACAGATTTGAAAAATTTAATCATAAAAGAGTTGTAAATAAGAAAATTTAAAATAATTTTTATTCTAATATCTAAACAATCATCTGACATTACTGTAACTTTTCTTTTAACCCACGTCTTATTTATTACATCAACAAGATCTAACCATATCATCTAACATCCAAGTTCGTAACCACATCATGATAGGAAGATCTAGTTCAGATTCAAAGTTTTCAACATAGAGAAACATATTCATCCATGGGCTTCTAGTCACATTAAATGAAATTTCATTCTAATGAAATTATTTTGCAATATCTAAAAACACTTTATGTTTGTATTCTTTTGTAAATATTAGGGGAGGATTTGCTGGAGATTTATCTTTTTCATTTTCATTCAAATTCATAATAAATCTATCCATTGACCATAAAGCTCCTTTATTAGCATGGAAAGAACAACTTCCTCTACTGAACCCACCTTGTTGGAATCAAAGAACTATTCTTAATCATTTGCTCAATATTTCTTTATCGTGCCTCCTATGAGGTGGTGAAATTTTTTAAACAATCTCTGTACCCTTTTTTAACTTTATCTAGTATTTTTTCATAAGGTCCAATATTTAAATGTGTGCAGACTGAGTCTTCTTTTAACCTCTTAACACCAGAAGAAATCCTCTTGCCACAAAATTTATATTTCAAGGAAACATAACCCTTCTCTGTTCCTAGAACTTTAACTTAGGTACCATATGTTCAAATTAGATCTTTTCTTCTAACTCCAATAGCAATTTAATAAATAACAAAATAATATATATAAGATAATAACTAAGAAATATTAAAAGGGTAAATAATTTAAAACAATCAATTGAATCCCAATTGCTAATTTCAATTTGAATTCAAGATGACAACGTCATAGATAATTTATGTTGGAGATCAATAGTATCAGAGGGTTGATGAGCTATACAACAACAACAACAACAACAACAACAACAACAACAAAGCTTTAATCCCACTGCGTGGGGTCAGCTACATGAGTCCTTTTTCTCCATTGTGTCCTATTTAGTATCATATTTTCATTTAGTTCTA